AAAGAAAAGAAAGAAAGGAATTGGGGTATACAGAGAATTTGGGGTGAGCCTGTGGCTTGATGTTACTGGAGCTTTGGATTTGGGTTACAGTATGAGAAAAGACCCGAAAAGTAGACTTAAGAGCAGGTTGGAGGTACTACATACCATACTGTTTGAACTTTGTTTTATAACAAGGGGACACATCAAAGATTTCTGACGAAGGCAGTGTGTATGCTTTGGGAATGACCTTAAAAGTTTTCTGTCAGTGAACTGATGCTGCAAAAAGTAGCATTTCTAGTTGCTAGAGATGAAAATCCCTTCCAGAGTGGAGGTGCTGTGATGAGAGAACTTGGTGAGACACAAAAGAGAATTGAGGAGGTAGAGTTGGGACAGGGACACCGGAATAAAGAATGCTGTGGAAACCGAGAGGCAAAAGCCTAAATTAAGGCTCTGAAGGGGCTGGGGATTTAGCTCAGCGGCACAGCGCCTGCCTGGCGAGTGCACGGTCGTGAGTTTGATTCCTGGTACTGGAGAAAAACAAAAAAAATAAAATAAAAAATAAAAAGGCTGTGAAAATGGGAAGAGAGATTTGAGGCATTTCGAACATTAACTTAGTGCCTCAAGACCTACTTGTTAAGGAAAGTAGGGGAATTGGCTACAGTTCTAGGCACCTGAGAAGATAGCAGTGCAGCAAAAAAAAAAAAAAAAAGAAATGAGAATAGTGGTAAGAATAATAGGGCTGAGTGTAGTGGTGCATGCCTGTAATTCTAGCACTTGGAAGTCTGAGGCAGGAGGATCGCTGTGAGTTCAAGGCCAACCTGAACTATATGGCCATACCTATCTCAAAAGATCAATCAAAAAAAGAAAAGAAAAAGAATAATAGGATTTGAATTGGAATTCAAACAATAGGATTGGAATCCAATAATAGAATTGGGATTATAGGCCACACGTCTATAATCCCAGGATTTGGGAGGCTGGTGCAAGAGCATGACCATGAGTTTGAGGACAGCCTACGCTACATAGTGAGTTCAGGACCAGCCTAGACTACATAGTGAGACCGTGTCTCAAAGAAAAAAAAAAAAAAAAACAAAGAATAATAGGATTTGAGGGACAGATATTCTGTTTGTATTAAAACACTTTGAGGAATGACGTGTGACACGTGTGTGATTGCCAAACAATTGAAAATGTGGACCATGAGTTTGGAAGAAATTGTGAGTCCATGTAGCTTGTGTCGTGTAATATTTTATACTTTGTAGTACAGTGGTACCTTTTCAGTGCCCTAAGTTACTAAAAGTAGAAAGGCTTCCCACTTTTGTGCAGAGAAACGGGCAGAAAGATAAAGTCATTTTCTCTGTGTCTGGCTCTCTTGTGTTGGTGTCTGTACCTCTATTTAGTTGTATGTCTCTCTTCTCTCTACAACTTACTGTTAAATCTCCCTGTTCACATCAGTGTGCATCATTAAGGAATTTTTAAAAACTGTGAATTACATAGAACATTCCATGCTAGATGGCAAGGGATACAACGTACGAGATAGTTGTAGGCTCCAGGAATTTATAATCTGCTTGGATAGATAACGAACAAAGTAACTGTAGCACAGTGCAGTCAGTATGACTGCAAGTCATATGATACACAAGTATCATATGATGAGTGCTGTAATTTCTAGAAGTGGTCATTTCTCTATGTAGATTTTTGTGAGGCTATGGTATACCATGTGTGTATTCACCATGAAGCAGTCCTCTTCCTGCTTTTAAGTGATGAAGCTGTTGTTCCAATAGCCTTGCCAAAAATGCCAGGGCAAACTGGTATAGTCTTACGCAGCGAGAGAAAAGAAAGGGAGATTATTCACTAGCCATTACATTAGGGCTGTTCTGCCAACTTTACCCTGCCTGACAGCCAGCTTCCTGGATTCAAGCCAAGGCCTTTAACTGTATGTTACCACTGAAGCTATGGAGGTGAAGTATGACTTTGAGTTTGTTTAGGATTATTGCCCAGAACAAATGGGCCCCAAAATGTTAATGCCAGAGGATGAAAATTTTCATAATCCCTCCTGGGCTCCTAGTTAACAGTGAAATTTCCAAGTGTTCCCACTTGAGGGAGCAGAGCTGGTTCAGAAAGTTTGTATTCAAAGCACTTTCATGTTTGAAGCCAGCCTGGGCTACAAAGTGACCAGCCTGAACTACATAGTGAGGCCCTGTCTCGAAAAAGGAAACAAAACAAAACAAAACCCAAAACACACTAATCTCACACTGTCTTGGGAAAGAAAACTTAAAAACTCAGCATCCCCTTTTGACTGATAGGGGTGCTAAGAAGGAGTCAGGTCTGTGATTTCAGAATATTCATATTCCTTATCTGTTCCTTAGTCATTCAAGGTTTGGGTCTCTGGCTGACAGCTACTGAGATCCCACCGAATGTGACCCTCTCTCTATTGCTTCACAGCCTTTTGACTAAGATCAGGTGAAATGGGACCCTCTCTCAATGTTAAGGGGTATGTCTATGGTTCTAGTGTCCACAGTTATTTTAAGTGAGTGTTTGGGAGCAAGCAACGTTACCTCTCTGGCATCCATGTTTTAATAAAGTCAGTTTGGGCCAATCTTGTGGAGTCTGACCTGAGCTCAAATTTTTAGTCTTTAATACCTGTTTTGTTAGGCAGTGCTATATATAAGACCATGAGCTTTGGAACCAGCCAGATACACATTCAAGTCCCTGCTTCACCCCTTACCGGGCATATGATTTTTTTGGTACTGGGAATCAAAATCAGGACCTTGTGCTTGCCAGGCAGGCACTTGTGTCACTGAGCTGTCTCCCTGGCCAGCTGCATAATCTTGAATAGATTGCTTAATATCTCTTCTCTCTTTCCCTTCTCCCCCACTTCCCCTTTCTCCCCCTCTCCTACCCCTCTTCTTTTCTCCCTCTTTTCTGTTCTTCCCTCACGGCTCCCCCCATGTTCTCTCCCTCTCTTCTCCCCTCCTGTTCTCACTTTAGTTGCCCAGGTTGGATGGAACCTAGATTAAGCTGAATCTGTGTTTCTCTTGTCTTTCAAGGTAACTTCAGGTAGCTCCTCAGCTCAGGAAAATGAGCATCCAGAAGGTAAGTTTACCTTAAGGTAAACTGAAGAAAGGAAACTAAGCATGAAAACAATAGCCTGACCTTGACTTCTTAGCAGTTTTTTCTTTTTTCTTTTTTCTTTTTTTTTTTTTTGGTTTTTTTCCGGTACCAGGAACCAAACTCACGACCTTGCGCTTGCCAGGCAGGCGCTTTTGCTGCTGAGCTAAATCCCCAGCCCCTTTCTTAGCAGTTTTAATGAATATCCTAGAGTTTCCCTGGGAAAACCAAAGCGGGGCTAGGCAGTGTGCCAGACCACAGGATCACCCAGAAATAAATCTTGATCAGAGTTGGGGTGATTAATATCTTCTAGGGAGAAAGTTCTGCAGTATAAGAAAAATTGCATAGACAGTCCTGGGCTTGCTATTTTTTTGTTTTGTTTCTTTTTTTTTTGTACTGGAAATTGAACCTGGACTTTTTCACCGAGCTACATCCCTAGGCCTTTTTTAATTTTTATTTTGAGGCAGGATCTTCCTAAGATGCCCAGGCTGGGCTAAAACTTGTCCAGCAACCCTCTTGCCTCCTGGAGGCATCCTTGAGTGCTGGAATTACAGACGTACACCACCATGCCTGGTGCCTAACCACTTTTTTTTTTTTAAGTCCCTGGTAGTTTTTGAGTAGAAACAGTGCAAGCTCACTAAAGCCACTGAGTGTACACAGGATTTATGGATGAGCCTAGAACTCATCTGGTAATAGAAGCACCAAGTCTAAAACCCAGGGCCCAAATACCTGTTTAGAATGGAGTGGTCCAACCCTAGGCCATCTAGAAAGAGACAGAATTGACAAAACAGAGACATCGCTGGCAAAGGATTTTGCCCAGGAAGACTCTTAGGGCTTCCTAGGGTTTGTTTATGACATTAGGAATGCACATTTTCTCACAAGATTAAAATAGAGGCTAAGTATAAATTCTAAGATGTAGTTTAGGGTCAGAAATCCTAGAACATTTCGTAGGTTTATGAGTTCTTGGCAAGAATTTAAATTATTTTCTATTTTCGTTAATTGGTATCTAAAACATTAACATAGTCACATTTTGGGTTATCTGGACAACTGATGATAATCAAGTACTGCCACGTGGTTTCAGTCCTGCTTAATGTTTCTGAGTATGTTTGCATTAGCACCGAGGCAGGATTTAGAAAATTAGCTGCATGGACCAAGCAGAGTGAGATGGACTAAAAAATACAGTACTGTAACCACCAGTAGGTCTCATGTTGCATGTAAAAGGAGGCAGGAAGAGTCCACATCTGGTCAGCTGAGACCTATTTTTAAATATGAGTTTCTATTTTAACAGTTTTTCATAAATTTATAGTTTCACTGAACAAAAAGACTTATTTTTGCCAGATCTTCTGATTTTGAAAAGAAACTAGGAATTTAGATTTTTTACATAAATTTCCAAACTTTTTAAATTTAGGAACTGATCTAAATTATTTTTAAAACATTGGGAAAGCCAAATTCAATATGTGTGTGGGCCTGTGGCCTAAAATGCTGGTACAGAGATACCTCGGCTGTCACATGGCTGCAGGCTTGAACTTTCCGTTACTTGAATAGCGAGTTAAAAGAAATCTACTCAGAGTTCGTAATTTTGCTCGATAGTCAAACCAAAAATTCAATTTGGAAAAACCTGTAAGGGCCAAGAGTCAGTCCCACCTTGCATCTTGCCACAGACACAAAGGGGTGATGCTTCAGTCTGAGTGCCCCTCCTGCTCAGACAGCGTATAGTGCTGTGTCAGTGTGTTATTATGCTTTTTTGTCATTGTGCTTTTTTTTGGTACTTCGTGTAAAATATTGTAACTGTGGCTCCAAAGAAAGTTAGTGATACCAGCAGTGAAGCTAAGAGGAAAACTTTCTTTAATGGTAGAGTTAAAGAAAGAAATCACTGCTAAATTTGTTAAAAGTCCTGAAAGAATTAATTGATAAATGTAATTTTGGGGCCTCAGAACCAATTATTTGGTTTGTCATTGTTTCTTGTGGAAAAATATGTTCAATTCTCAAACTTTTGAGTGGTTGAACACGAATTTGTAATGAATTGGGTTCAATAACTAAGGTATCACTGAATTTAACTCTGAATGTAGTATGTACATCTTCAACTGGTACCTAAAGACATATGTTGGGTATCTATGTGTTCTCCTGTTTGGAAAATTAGCTGGGTGTGGTGCACTCTGGAGGCTAAGGCAGGAGGATGGGAAGGCTGAGGCAGAAGGAACACTGTGAGTTTGAGGCTAGCCTGGGCTCCTTAAGTGAGTTCAAGGCCAGCCTGAACTACATAACAAGATCCTGTCTTACAAAACAAAACAAAACAAAACAAAACAAAACAAAACCCCTAAACAAGCTAAATAAATAAAAGAAAAACAATGAGAGCCTTCCAGTTAAAGATGGTAGATTGAAAACATACATCTACTCATTCCCTACACAAAATGTCCCTAAAACCACCATAAAGGAATCTTTTTAAAGGTCCGGACCCATCCTGGGCATGGTGGTGCATAGCCATAAATCCTAGCACTCAAGAGACTAAGCCAAGCCGGTTGTGGTAGCACATACCTGTGATTCCAGCACTTGGTTAGGCTGAGGCAGGAGGATTGCCATAAGTTTCAGGCCAGCCTGGGTTACATAGTGAGTTCAAAAGAACTAGCCTGAACTGCAGAGCAAGACCTTGTCTCAAAAAAGCGGGGTGCGGCGTGCTGGGGATTTAGCTCAGCAGCACAGCGCCTGCCTGGCAAGCGCAAGGTCGTGAGTTCAATTCCCAGTACTGGAAAGAAACCAAAAAAAAAAAAAAAAAAAAGAATGAGGCTAAGGCAAGAGATCAAGGGTTGGAGAACACCAGGAGAGCTACAGAAAAGTATAAATCCCCCAGGATAGAGAAGCAGGAAAGCAGAGAAAAGTATTAGTGACAGGTGATCTGAGAAAGTTGAATTGTAAGTCAAGAAGAAAGTCTAACACACACGGGTTAGGTCCCAAAAGCCCTGCCTCACTGACTGCAGTGGACAGCTTCCCTCCTCACTCTGGCAGAGACGAAGCTTTGTAGAGAGGGACGGGTACAGAACACAGGAACCCAAAGTGAATACTGGGTGCTGAGGCCCTGTTTGGCTTCCATGTGCTGGCTGAACGGACTTCTCCCTCCCAGCTTGAAATTAAATAATCCCTCTTTCCAGAATCCTCAAGAGAAAATTCTAAAAGTGGAAGTAATGAATGTTCCCTATCTAAATGGCTTACAGTTGAGGTTCATTTATACACTTAGCACCTCCAATCGACTTTCAAACCTTCTCTCTCTCTCTGTCTGGTTTTTTCTTCTTTTTTTTTTTGAGACAGGGTCTCGCTGTGCAGTTCAGGCTGGCCTTGAGCTCATTTTGTAGCCCAGGCTGGCCTCAAACTCGCAACGATCCTCCTGCCTCGGCCTCCCGAGAGCTGGGCTTACAGGTATGTGCCACCATGCCCGGGTAAACCTTCTCCTCTTAAAAAATATGATTTGAAAAAAAAATATGATTTGGACAATGAGCTGGGTATGGCGGCATACGCCTGTGATCCTAGCACTTAGGGGAGCTGAGGCAGGAGGAGAGGCCAGCCTGCGCAACATAGTTCAAAGCCAGCTTGCACTGCAGAATGAGCCCTTGTTTCAAAAAAACAAAACTGAGAAACACGATTTGGACAAAACAAAACAAAAAAGAAAGATATAGAAAAATATGACTAGGGTAGGGGAAGGTATTATTTGAATCCTCCTTTAAACAAAGAATTACCAAACATCTAAAAAAGTGAAAAAATGTAATCTAAGCTGGCCCTCTTCATGTATACCAAAAAAGAAAGAAAGAAAAAGGCAACTAAGTGAAGTCAGTGCACAGAAGAAAGAGCTTTCATAGTTTAATTAATATATACTCAGGTAAAGGGCTG